CACCACCACCAACACAGCTGTGTCACATTCTTTTCCCATTCTGCCAAGAAACATTTACCCTCTTCTCTCTCCCGACATGAAGTTTCCACTTTTAGTCAAATTTAAGGGTCAGGCTTTCTTTCCTAATGTGAATGATGCTCAATCTGTAACCCGACATGAGGTATGAGTCAAAAACAATGATCACTTTGCTTGGCTTTACAATGAAATAATGCCTTTTCATTTTTCACCGCGCAGCCAAGAACTAAGACACTGAGTAACCGCAATGCAGCAAGATTAATCTGGCATGACAGCGGCTACCCAGCATCTGTTTATTTGTCTAGACATCACTAATTTGATGTGATTTATGGCAATTTAGTAAAGCTCATGAAGTCACTGTCTGTGGTCTCCTCTTGTCTCTGTCTTTCCCCTGCTGTTTAGAGCAACACGGTCCGCTCTGAAGACAAACATCCAAAGCTTTGCTTGGGGAGAAGAAAACTCCTCTAACTCTCTCTGTGTCCCGTGAGGAGGCCAGATAATGATACGCTGGCAGGCTAGATTGCAGGGTTGCCATTGGGCTGGAACTGTAAACACAGCGGAGGAACCTCGTTAGGACATTCCAGAAATGTCCTCAACTGGGAATTCTTGGAAGCACTATTCTGTGTTTGCATTCTTCCTTTGGGACAGCAGCGGTAACATCGTCTCCTGTGATCAGTGATCAGAGGAATAGAGGCTAGCAGATGTCGAGCACCCCTCAGCAAACTGTGAACTGGACAGTGGTGACGCAGATACAGCCAATAATTTCTGTACAGCAGATGTTTGTCCTTCTTTTTCATGCATTTTACATAATTTACAGAAGATTGAGCCAGGAAAGCTTCCTCAAACAAAGCATTTTACTAAACAGCAGCTAAACCACTGTGTAGCATTATGCTAACATGCTAAACCATTGCAACAGTAGCACAAGTGGAGTCATAAAGTCAGCAAAGTGTTCCAGTAATGTGCGTTATGCAATATATAAATTAGCTTTTATTAGCTAACATTAGCCACCACAAGCTGCTGGTTATACCAGACCAACGAAAGCTGCATCAGCAAAAATCCTGGGTCTATTATATTGAGAAAGGGTGTGTTTTCTTACATATGAATTTAAGATTTGATGTGTAAGAGGAGGAATTTCTTCTCTCGAAATTTACATAGCAGCACTTTAAAGCTGCACTATTGACCAGTGGGTCAAATTATTATGTGTAATGTTAAAGGGGTCAGTCGTAGTGACAAACCAAAAATCAATTATCACCAATCATCAGCAGTTTTCCTCAGCAAAGCATTTTAGCATCTTTCTGATCATTGTTTTGGTTTTGCGGCCGGCAGCTTAACTGCTGATTCAGTGTCACTAAGCATCAACCGGGTTTGCAACAGCTTTCATAAAAATAAAAAAAAAGCTCTAAAAACCAACTGAACACTAATTGACCAGCACCAAACAGCGAACAGACACAGTTAAAGCAATCTAGGAACCCATCAGCTATCAGTCTCATGACGGGTAAGCCTCTGAGGTTCCGGTTTAGCAAGCAGATATCCGGGCGAAGACTCCCTTTTCTGTGCTCTGCTCGTTGTTTACACTCCGATTAGGAACTTAAGATGTGAGATCATGGTTGGAGTGGAAAGACGTGTACTACAAGTCGCCAATTTACAAGCTCATTTTAAAACAATAAACAGCTAAATCATTGTCAGACGATGAATGGTGGATTCCGCACTTGCATTTTAGCCAATGTTTACCTGCTTCTAACGAAAGCGTACTCGAAAGTGCTTGTTCCGTGTCTACTGGATGTGTACGCTAACATGTTTGCCATATTCCTTTTACGAGGTGACAATATTTCACATCTTCTTTCGCTGCCCAACAAAAAGTATCCAAAAAAAATCACCTATGGCTGCTTTAAATCCTCAAAAACGTTTCAATGTAAAACACCTGGGGCTATATTCACAAACATCCTGAGAAGACTCTCAGAGAGCTCCTAACTCCTAAAACATTTCTACCTATCAAGGAGTCATAACTTAGTAGTGATTTAGGAAACTTCTCAGGCAGAATGTTTGAAAACACAGGCCTACTTGCAGAGTAGCCTATTCACATGCTGGTAGTTATTATGTTTATTTACTTTACTTTTTATTTACCATGTTACTAATTTTACTAATGAATCTATTTTATATAAACAGGGACAAAATGGCCTAGCTTTCATCAGTCTCTGCGATTGCTGGCCAGTGTACATAAGTATATTGGCATGTGAATGTGCAGAACCCAGGCTTCTGATGTAAGATAAGGTCATCTTAGGACAAAACTGACCTCAGTGTCATGTGGTGTCATAATGTCATTATCATTTTCTCCACATTGAATGGATTCGTTCTGAATAGATTCAAGCTAGTGTAACAGATGTAACTGAAGCTGTGTCACTATGCTGGACATGTGGGGCATTAAAAAAAATAGATCAGATAACTCCAAAGCAGAGCGTAAAAAATCTTCTCACGTGTCACTCAGAGTAAAAAAAAGAATCGGCTATCACAGTTGTTAGTCATAGTTGCTTCTTTTAGTTACAAAACCATTTTAACATTGAGGAAATTGGGTCAGTTGTGTTTGGATGTAATAAGGAAATATTGTTGGTCAAATAATGCCAATCAGCGAGAGAGATGCAATGATATTGTGTCTGTCTGCTATCCAAGAATATTATCTATACAGTGCAGACAACTGATCAACTGACGGCTTTATCTATCTGGATCAATGCACAATGTGACTTTTCATTAACTTTAAAGCGAGTCAAATGTTTTTTTCTTTTTCCATTTGGTATTAGTGGCTCTTTGAATTAGTCTCAGAATAGATACACCCCCCCAGAGCCTTAAAAATAGACAGTCTGTGCATAATAAGACAATGCCCTTCTTTTAGCCGACACAATAGTCTCTCTATGTGTCAACACAGACACATGCAGGCCTTCAGTTGCAACCATTAACATATCTCACAGATGATTCATCATCGGTTACTGGCAGTCACGCCGAAGCTGGTAGATAATGGACAAAAACTACTCCCCAGTGTTGATGAGTCAAGTCGAGATCCATAACAAACACCTACAATATTAGGCTCCATTGTTTATTTTTACAGAAAAAAACAAGATACATAGCATCTAAAGACATAACAACTAAATGTTTAGTTTAAGAGACGCAAATAAAAATAAGAAAACATTGAAGTTAGGTTTCATAGAAAATACAAAATAATGAAGGAAAAACTTAATCAAAATTAAAAAAGTTGTCTAAAATTGATGTAAGAAAAAACAAGTAAGAGGTAGAAAGGAATGGAGAGAGAATGCTTTGACGTGCCTAAATGTGTAAATCATGTATGTTAGGAGGTATGAAAGAAGAGTATGGATCAAAAACTATTTTGATATTTGAGAGACAAATAAAATCTTACAATAACACATAAGCCGAAAAGGTATTTTTGAAATAAACTTCCTTGAGTTAGGATCCCTCCCACTCAAGCCAACATGAATCAATAGTATCCGCCATGCCAATGTATTGTTTGGGCTCTAGTATTGAACGGAAGTAATTAATAAGATAGAGTAAATACACAAATAA